GCCAAACAAGCCCAATGGTAAACAGCCCAACTAAAGAACCATCCTCAGCAATATTGACAGGGCAAACCACTAGAATATCAACTGAAAGCAAACCCCACTCTTAACTAGCTCTGGTGATGTGTTACCAAGTTTGGGTAAATAAAGGTCTGCAAGAAAACAACCAAGCTCCGAGATCACCCGGGACCTCTCATCTCCTATCTCTCATCCAGCACTGGTCATCTGCCCATGTGATCATGCCTGAGTCTTTATGAAATCTGGATTTAAACCCATATTGGCTAACATTTCTGCTGTTTTACTGTGTCCCCACAGTAAACTACATTCGGGATTTGTTGAACATTTTTACTGATCCGTATATCTGTAAATCAAAATACACTTGAATGAACAGATAAAATTGATATAGTAAAAGCAAAAACCCATAGCCTTTGATGATAATTACAGTAGAGCCACTTCAAAAACTGTCAGACCATTTAAGTTGGAAGCAAAAACCATATAACAACAACAAAAAATCATGACCCCCACCTAGCCCATTCAAAAACTACAGCCACACACAGCTTGCAAATCCCAGCTCTGGCTGGCTGCGAGCCCAAAATAAACACAGATAAATTCTCTGGCAAAAGTAAATTACAGCAAAACAGGTTTATATAAAGCAAATCACTTATCCAAATGCTTCTTCTCAATGATTGCAAACAAACAGAGACTTGACTAGGACAGGAACGGAATGGAATGAACGAACATTGACTTCTGCAACCAGGGTGTGGCATCATCAGTCTTTTTATCTGCAGGAGAATCCTTAACGAGCCACAGCTGCTTGTTATCCTCTCCTGTGAGCATCCTGAAACCATTCATAGGAGGTTTCTGTGTCAGAGTCTGATAGCAGCTCCAAAGGCTCCTACCGAGCCACAACATACATACATACATACATACATACATACATACATACATACATACATACACACACACACACACACACACACACACACATACACATACACATACATATACATATACATATAAAATTTATCCAAGAGGGAAAAAGGAGTAGTATAAGTGGTATAAGCAGTAAAGCTGGATGAAGAAGTATTATCACAGAATTAGAAGAAGAAGAAGAAGAAGAAGAAAACTACACAGTTGATTAAGAGAAAATAAAAATGACTGGGCAAGTGGAGGAGTAAACAAAGCAGTTGATTCATCTTAGAAAAAGATAAGCAAATGCAGGACGGGATTAGATTGGGAAAAGAGAAGGTAGTGATGCACAGCTACAAAGCAAGACAAGGAAAGGATTTTTTTTTTCACAAGAAGGAAACAGAAGAAAAAATGGAGATGTGTGCTTAGGTTTTGCATCACAGATGTTCAGAAACCCAGGTGCCTTAATACATATGATACTATGAGAAATCTATATTGGTGGTTGACAGGAAATAACAAGGGTGAAGTGACTCAGCTAAAGATGAATTGAACAAATGAAACAGTCTAAATGCAATCTACCCGGAAGGAACAGAAGGAAACAAAGGATTTCTTTAAATTAGTGTTGAAGTAATATTCCTTCATAATGAGAAAATGTAAAGCAAGGTGCTTAAGGGTATATACAGTAAGACTTTATCCACCCCATGCTTCTGTTAGATTAAAGTCTTGGTAAAGAATGTTGAGTATTATGATTAATAAATATTAATTTATCATAATAGTATGCTTGAAATAGTTTCTATCTTCATTCCCACTAGGAGCTATCAAAACGGGAATTCAGGCTACCGCTGATTCCAATATACTAATAAAGGGCATTGCCATTTTTGTACAACTAGCCAGAAGGCTTAAATTAATAGAACAAACTGGTTCCACAAATTCAGTTTGTGCCTTTTGTTTTTGTTGTTTGCAAAAAAAAAAAGGTAATTGAATGGACATCACATGCTATTTTTTTTCTTTTTACGACCCTATAATTCCTTTTATTGGGCATTGAATGGAGTTGAGTGTTGATGCCCTTTCTGATGCCTGTGCAGAGTTCGCAGCAGATAAATTCTCTTTGCACCCTGATATAGAAATATCACTAACTAGAATTGAACTCTCAATCTCCGGAATGTGACCCGAACATCTTCACCTCTAGGCCACCCCATCTCTCTGGGCATTACATGCTAGATTACTAGAGAAAAAATTCAAATTTTACATTTTATGAAATATTCAAGTAATTCACAAGTCAGGGAATTGATGCTGAGCATCAGTATTCTTTTCATGCTGACAAATTCACCTTAAATAATAAAAAAGCCATCATAATTGTCAGGTATATAGCAGCTTATTCAATAAATTAATAGTTTCAAATTGACTTTTTTATGTAGTAAGTTTCAGAAATAGTAATTGAAATCAACTTTAAACTCAATGGGAAATTCGGAATTTGAAATTGATATATAGTGCCATCTTGAGAAAGTTCCCTAGTTTTGATTTTTTTTAAAAAAAAATTCCATAACTAAAGGAATCGGGTCTGTCTTTTCTGTAGGTGTTTGTTAATAATTATTTTAATTTTAAAAGCCCTTTGCTTTGAAGGGGGACCAGTAATGGCAGTTCTGGGAGCCTTGTTTTCTTAATCATCTCCTGTTAGGGGAAGCCCATGTTGAATATATTTAGGCTGTACTTCCAGTTTAGCTTTTATAAACTTCTGCAATCAAAAATGTTGATCATTCTGAAAAATCATAAACAGTTGGTTGCTCTTTGTTAAGTCTTCCAGCTGAGCCTGCAGGTGTTGAAGATAAAATAACATTTATTCGTGATATTGTTTTCACAAGTTGATGTGCTTTGATTGCTTCATTGTCCCCATTGATAAAATAAAACTAAAGCTACAGGCAAATTATAGTCGGAGGAAATTCAATAAATTTAGGTTCTGTGATATCTCATATTACATACTACTGTAGGCCAGAAGCAGAAAGACAACAGATCTGAATCAATTAATACATCTCTATGTGACTTTCAATATTCCTACACAAAAATTTCTAAATTAGACTGCTGAAATTCAGTACACTTGGAGAAAATCATGGAATTTATTAAAAATTGGTTCATTGGTTCTACACAAAACATACATTTCTGGACTGAATATGTGGTCAAACATTCTTCTCCATTGGACAGATCTTACAGTTCTAGAGAAGATCCTTGCCTAGGCTAAAATTTATTCACCTTGCTGTAGATCTAATCCCCCCCCCCAAACCATCAGTAAGTCTATCTAATTATTTTTCCTTCTGATAATAACAGCAATATTTTGATAACTATGGTCTGTTCGTTTCTATCCTATCTCGATTCTATTTACTAATGGTGAGGGCCACTTATGCCATTCCCTCAACTCTTATTCTGACAATACTTAGCCTAAGTACATGTTCATCTCTGAATAATGAGTATCTGGAGAGAAAGGGGCTCGAATTAATAAGCAGCAGGTCTGGAAATGATTACACAGTCCAGCCCCCTTCCTTCTTAGCTGCGGAATTCCATTTCTGACGTTGCTTTTCGCTATAGCGAGAACAGCCTTTTTAATCACCCTAATTATCTTCCTGTCCGTTGCTGCTCTCCATGGTGCTGAAATCGATTGCTACACAATAGAATTGTCCCCCTTGTACCGCCCACCGCCTCTCATTGCAGCCTTTGAACAGGGTCTTCGCACAGAAGCAGCCTTGAACTACCCTTAAGTGATCAGTGTTATTTATCTTTTTCTTGCAGAAGTACTCGAGGCAAATACACACACACACACACACACACACACACACACACACACACACACATTCTGTGCAAGTCAAGTTCATTAAAAAAAAAAACACGATTTTACCGGGTCGGGGTGCGAGGGAGTTAAGAGATCGGATGGTTAACTGCGAAGCTTAATGCGAAATCTGTCCCTGAGCGTCACACCGTGGGGTAGCATTGTTTTCTTATCCTTCAAGCAGGGACCTGAAGTTGCTCTGAAACTCTTTTATTTATTTATCTTTCCCAAACAGTGAATCGGGGTCTCATCGTGACAAACCTTTTAAACACTTTTTTTTTAAATAGTACCTGTTTGGGATGGAGCAGCACGTGGCTGATCCTTTCTTACGCAGAGCAAAATGGTCGTTTCGGTGGGTAGTCAGCTATTTGCTGCCTATTACTCTCTGACGACGGTGAGGGGTTAAGTTATTTTACGGAAGTCCTTCAATAAAGGACAGACTTGAGACTTCACGGGCGCTGCCTGATTCTTCCCTTCAGCCTTTCCTAATGCAACTACTCTTTTCCTCCTCCCCTGATTTGGGTGTCACAATGCTCTCCGTTCCTCCTCGGAGAAGTATTTATATTAATCTGATATTACCAGGCTCCAAGCTAATAAAAAAAAAAACATAAATTGGCAACACGGAAGAGCATTTCTTAAATTCAGTATGATCTTTTCCCATCCCTTTGGCAAAGGAAGAAAATGAGGAGCAGTTAAGAAATGCAAATTTAATGCGCGTGGTTAAAACCGAATCCAAACGATTAAGTGTCCTATTTTTGTCAGCAGACTCCGGGGGACGTCTCATTTTTTATTCGTTGCCGCCACCTAGTGGCGACATGGCAATTCGGTTTTCCGAGTTCACCAAACCCAGGCGCGTCTTCAAGAAAAAGAAACGCGATTCTCCTTAAAACGATTATTTCATCGTATAAATAGCAACTCGTGATATTTTTATCCGAGAAAGACAAGGGGAACCCTAAAAGGAGGATCGTCGGGCGTCTTTTGAAGAACGGGACATTATAATAAAAGCTGAACACGACAACGCTCCTTCTACAAACGCTTATATTGCCAAAAAAAAAAAAGTAATCTTGCTTGAATTCCTAAGAATTCAAGATTTCTGTCTGAATAACAGGGAAAGACCGTTTCCTAGAAGAGCACTGGGTTATTTGCAAGCTGAACAACCCTTACCCCAGTCGTGATAGGGCTCCGAATAGGTTCAAAACAGCCGTCACGTGCACTGCCCTACGGTCCTCCTTTCGGAAGCCAGAACACCTGCAAGTTAATCACATTAGCTTGATAACGCGCGTGATTCAACCATCCCCCCCCCCTTAACACCCTCACGCCTTCCTCCCCCTCCGCTGGGATGGAAGAAGCGTGGTGACTTATGTCAGCGTTGCAAAACATCTCAGTCGAAGCTTCTCGCTTTTAAAAAGCAAAGCCCAGTCAGGGAACTTGGCAGCCCGGGAGGGGAGGTCAATTCGAATTAAATTCCAGAGCGCCATTGATATTCCGCCGTCGTTTCTGGGGGTGGGGGAGTTTATAAGGGCCAAGCCTCCTTCTTAAAATCTCGGATTTTTTTCGATCCGATGCGTTTTGGACTCTCGGAGTTGGTTCTCGCGTCCTCTGTCTCTCGTTGGTAAGTATTTGCGACGTGTTTCTTTTATTCTTGTATTTCTTTTATTTCTTTTATTGCCACCTCCACCCGCCTCGATTTTCTCGTTTCGGCTGGAATTTGAGACCGTTCTTCTCTCTCCGTAACGCTGTTTCTATGTCCTCCGCTGAATAAATTTGAATATTTGGGCAATATTTGGGAGTGGATGGCGTTTGGTCATAACCTGTTACTTCACCTCCCAAACTCGGCTCGAGGCACCCGTCCTTGTCGGCTCCCGGAGTTCAAGAATTGAGGTCGTGGGGTTGCACGGGTATTCGATTCGGTAGGCGAATTTAGAACCAAAATCCCAGCCAACCCGCCTCTATATTTGGCACGAATGAGCGCTTGAACGAAAACTTTTGTGGTTAAAAAGGCAACCCTGATTGGGGTTGTTTCCATCGGGAGAAGAAGAAAAAAAAACCTTTCGTACATTTGCTGCCAGCTTGAGAGTGTGTGTTGTGTTGTGTTTAATTAACGTGGCGAAACAACTCTGAGACGCCCCAGCGGTGGCGGCGTCCTTAGCGGGGAAAAAAGGAGACAAATGGGTTGTTCCGTTTGTCCAGATCCAGAAATCTTGGAACCCGGAGACGGCATGAAAAATTCCTGGCAGAGCCACAGAAAGGCCGAGCAGCTCCAACCCAACGCTGGATTGTATTTATGAAATTACAAAAGCCGAATTTTGACCGTTTGGAGGGCATTGATTGATCCCGAAGGGCGACTAATTATTTCCCCGCTCTGTGGCGCACCTTTTTTTGCCTTCCCAATGATTTGGGGGGTATTTCGCGACCTGCAAATTGCTGTGCCGGCCGAATGTGTTATGCTTATGGGCTTCTTTTATCCGCATTGGGTGTCACACACACACACACACCCCACAACTAAGCAAACGGCAATGCTTTCTATAGTATTTTATCTGAAACGGAAATAAAATTGGAAGAAAGGAGGTATCTATGCCGCAAAAATCGCGTAACCTAAGAGTGCAAGTCTATCAGAATATTCTCTCCCCCCCCCGTGTGTGTGTGTGTGTGTGTGTGTGTGTGTGTGTGTGTGTTCTGAGCATGCTTATTGGAAGTTGCTTTCCCATTTGGCGTGAATCATAATTAGCCTCCTCATCGGCCTTTAATAGAGCTGCCCTAGACGTTCCGGTCAGCTGAATCTATCCTTCTCTCTACCGCCGGCGACACGCCAGTTTATTTCCCATCCCCGGCCAGGAGCCAAAGGAATGGCTTTCTCAGTTCCTGAGCCCCGTCCAGACAGCTTCCCTCTCGCCCTGCTGAGCAGCCGGCGCTGCCTCTTCTAAAATCCGACTTAGGCGTCGTCACCTCCAGCCATTTCTCCCTCCAAATCGCTTTGTCTGAGAGCAGGACCGGCGCTGCCGTTGCGGGGCTTCGGTGGGAATCGGGACTCCTCTTCTTGTTCGTGGTGTGTATCCACACCTTCCTTTTGTGCAAGGCTTCTCTCTGCACACATTACCCACCCGCACAGGCGCACCGTCCCCACCCCTCCGCCGACCACCGCTACTTCCCGAGGAGTTTAATAGCTTATTGTTGGCTGCAGACTCGTTTTCTGGATCGCCCCGAAGAAAGGGGGGACAGAGGGAGACAACGACCCCCAAGCTCTTCCGAGGAACAGGTTTCTAAACTCGCTTTTCTCTTCCATTGCAGCCCGTCCTTTTTGGGGGAGTCGGAGGAAGACCGAAAGAAGACTCCTGGGACCCAAGGGCTGTGCCTCTGGACCTCATGGCCACCTCGGATCCCTCCTCCTCCAACACCGCTCAGGATCCCAACCCAACTAATTTACGACCCACAAGTAGGTCTCGGGTTTTCGTTTGCAAACCTCGGCCCTGCATGCGCCTTCCTTGAAAGCAAGGGCTTCCAGAAAGACAGCAGAGAAGCACGAACCCCGCTCCCACCCCCAAAAAAGACCAACATGGAAGCCTTCTTACATCCCTCCCCCCCGCTAAAACCGAGAGGATGCCGAAAATGAGCTTATGGGGATTGGGGGGTGGGTGGGTAGTGCGTAGTTTTCTTTCTGCTCGAAAACAAAGAGACCTGATGCTATTCCTAACGAACGGCGAGGGGAAGGTGGAATATCTGGTGTCGCCGCCACCCCCCACCCTCACCCCCCGCCATTGACTTGATGGTAGAGGAAAGGGCGGGAGGTTCTGCAAACGCTCGTGGCCCTTTGTGGACGCCTCGGCTCTCAAAGCGTCCTTCCCCGTTTTCTTCCGCTTCGGCAGCCCTTCCTGGGGCCGCCCGGAAAGGCAGGTCAGGGCAGAATTGCTCGCTGCCCCGAATTGGAGAGGAGATTGGCAGGTGCCAGTGACAAGCGAGTGATGCTGCAGGTGGCGGGAAGGGAGGGAGGGAGAGAGAGAGAAAGAGGAAAGGAAAGGAAAGGAAAAGAGGGAGGGAGAGAGGGAGGGAGGAAGGAAGGAAAAAAGGAAGAAGGAAGGAAAAAAAGAAGGAAGGAGCTACCCAACGATTGACTATAGCGCGTTCAGACAGCCACCCAGCTCCCATAGAAGAAACCGAGCTGGAATTGACGTGGTCGCCGGAGACAAAGAGGGGGGCGGGGAGGGTGCTCGAATTGGAAGGAAACGAAGCCTGGCGAACCCCGCCAAGCAGGGAATGGCGTTTGCCCTAGAAGGGCTCTCGGGGTTATGAAGCATGAACGCCCAGACGTCGCTGTGAATAACAGCGGCGATTGCAAGGGGAGAATGGGGCGGGGTGGGGAGGGGGAGGCAACCAAACAAAAACCGTTCCTTTACGGTGGACTTCTCTGCCTTTTCTCCCCCCCACCCGGCTGTAAAGCTGCCCAACTCCTAAAATGAGCAAACGGCACGCCGGGTTGGGGGTGCTTGTTCATATTGCGCCTTGCTTGGCTCTCTTCCTGGGCTTGACAAAAGGAAGAGGGGCGTGTGTGTGTGTGTGTGTGTGTGTGTGTGTGTGTGTGTGTGTGTGTGTGTGTGTGTGTTCGCGTGTTCCCCTCGGCAAGACTGCCCGCCGCCTTCCCGCCATTCAAAGGAATGCGCCTCCTGCTAGGCGCCCCCAGCGCTGGCAATTGTGCCGGGCGCGCAATTCCTGCCCGCGCTCCCGCAGCCATTCCCTCTATTGTTTCCCGACGGCTGGCGGGCGCTCCTTCGGCTGCCTCCGAGGTCCGGCGGGGAAGGCGCGTGGAGGGTTGCCGCGGGTGGGTGGGAGAGAAGGAGCGAGGGTTATTTTATTGCCCCCCTCTCTTTGACGTGTCCCCACCTCGCCTCTCTGGCTGCCTCGGGCGGGGAGCGAGGCTGTTTTCCAGTCCTGTCAGAGCCGTTCTCATTGCCTGCCATTCTTGTGCCCGCGCTTCCCTTTTGGCTCCCCTCCCCGCCCCCGTTTCGCCCTCCCGGTGTCCTTCTTGGCCACTCCAGTCTCCTCTTTTATTGACACACACACACACACACACACCACACACACACACACACACACACACACACACACACACACACACCATTGCCTTTGGTCCCTGACAGCCCCTTCATCCCTCCCCAACCCTCTCCGTCAGCAACCCTCGTTTGTCTATCGCGGTTCAGTGTCATCTCTGCTATATCACCCAACCGTCTGATTTGGGTATGGGGTTCCCACCCCCACCCCACCCCCTGTTTCCCTTTCTCTCCGGTCTAGCTTGTTTCCTTCGCCTTTCCTTTTTCCTATCTATTTTTCTATCCTCTCTCCAGTTTTCAGAAGACTTCCCTCTTCCAGATACACTCTTTTTCTGCAAGCCCGTCAATTGTCTAGATCAGTCCGCCCAAAGATGATGCCTCCTAGATGAAGTTCAATTCCTAGGCCTGGGAATCCTGATGTTGGAGCCCAGTGCATCTGGCGGGCACCAGGTTGGAGAAGGCTGCAACAGGCGGTTCTTTGTCTTTGCCCATCCGGTGCTGCCCCTATAGGTGATCCAAAGAACAAGGAAAGCTTCTGGGCATTGAAAGCAAAAGCGGGGACTGAAGGCAGAGGGTGGGTGGAGCCAAAGTCCAGGGCTTTCCCTTCAGAACTCCGCCCCTTTCTGTTCAGTTCCCAAGAAATAATAATAAGAAGTGGTTGTTCCAACTGTTCCTATTTTCTTAAATGCTGTTTTGAAATTGTGGAACCTATCAGACTTACGTGGAAATATGAGCCAGTAGTGTCATGTAGTAACCATTCTCAAAGTGTGTGAAGTCCTTCAAGACTAGGATAGGTTACAATTGAGTTACAAAGGTCAAACATATTCAAAAATTTTCCATGAGGCCTTTGCAATATTGTTTTAAATGGCTCTTGCCTTAAATTTATTTGGGGAAAACTTCCCAATGTCATGTAAGATCTATCTGGATCTCTCTTCAAATCTTAAGTGGTGTAATAAAATAATACTGTACATTTTAATCTCATCATTCGCTTCCTTTTAGGATCCTGGTTTGTAGTTCATATGACAATCTCACAAATACTCATCTGAAAACCACATGGATTTAGTAAAAGTAACATCTCACTAACCTCATGGCCTTTTTATACTTTTATTTATTGGACAGTCTTTTGGCCCAACGAAGTTTTCAAGGCATCAGTAATCTTTTTCCGCACTCATATCAGTTGCATGTCCTTTGCATATTCTTTTAATCTAGTTTTGGGTCATTTGCTTGTCATTCTCTTGTCACTTTTCCTTCACTTTTTAATCCTGGTACTGGATGAGATACTGGAAAATTGAAAGCAGTAGGAGGCATCAATTCCTAGCAGAATACATCTTTATTTATTTTTTCCTACTGGTTAAGCTACCCTTGCTGTTTTGTACGGCCCACCTTCCTGACATAGTCGTGATTCCCATTAAAAAAAGAAGAAGAAGAAGAAGGAAGTGGGCTGCATGAAGGCCATCAGCTCCTCCCTTGCTTTCAGCACCTCCGGGAATGGACAGCGCAATGCGCGCTTCAGCTGCCTGGAGTGGGGCAGAGGAAGAAGGCCGGTGGGAGGGGGTGAAGAGAATAGGCCGGATGAAAGGTGTCTCGAAAAGGGGGAGCAAGCGGACGTGAGAGGCCTTTTAATGTGCCACCCTGACTCGTTCGTCGGCTGCAACCTAGTCATGCAAGTCTGATCATCTAGTCAAATACTATTGTTCACCCAATTAATTCTTGAACTCTTCCATGACCCCCATTTCATGCTAGTTTATTTTAAGCTGCCACTTTCATGGAAGCCTGCCAGTAAATTATTAAGAGATCAGATCTCTCCCAGCTGCCTGTTTCTTCCTGATAGGACCCTCTTTGGCCACTGAGCCTTGAAGCCACTAGGCTGCCGCTTGTCCACACACGTGTCCGTCAATCAAGCCACCCATCGCCGCCTCCTCCGCTCCCGCTCCCAGTATTGCTGAGCTTAAAGCGTGGTTAGCAAAGAAATAAAGTGGAGAAAAACAAAACAGCTGCTCTCCCACGCAAGTCACGCCAAGAGCTGATGCCTTACGTAGCTTCAATCCCAGGGCACCGTATAAAAAGCTATTAGCGCTCTATTTACATGGATGATTAAGATCGTCTTAATTCACGGTGGGGGGGGGGATATAGAGGAAGCAGAGATGAATTAGATTTGTATGCCACTGATGTCCACTATATCGGCACTCCATCAAAAAAAGAACCTTGAATCGTTAGACTTTTTTCCACACCTAGTAGGTCACCCGTTTTCTAAATATTCTGCTTTTGTGAAATCTCGCGTGTAGATTTGCTTAATCTGATTCAGATTTCAGATTCAGGTTTAGTTTATTTGTATGCCGCCCTTCTCCGGGAGGGACTCAGGGCGGCGAACAACTAATCTGCCAGATAAGAATGGCAATGCAGCACGTGAGGCATCCATCCGCTTCTGTAGGTAGTAATTTTTGTTGTTGTTTCTATTCCCTTTTAGCCTATGACACCTGGTGTGGTGTAGCTCATGGCTGCACGAAGAAAATCGGGCTCAAGATATGCGGTAAGTAAAAAGAGGCAAAAAAAAAAAAACAACCCACACTTTTCTCACCCAACTCCCCCTCACCCACACCTACACACACCCACAATTAGACCCGCCGCTTCCTCCCTTATGCATTATCTTGAGTCTGTAATCACTTACACAGCTGTTAATCTTTCATTTAAAAAAAATTCCGGGAGGCCTGAGAGGAACTCGGTTGGTTGGCAAGGAAAGTAGGCTACTTTCTTTTATCTTGAGACGGGGCGGAGGCGGAATGAAGCTGCCAAGAGGGGCTCCTCCTCCCTCCTCCCACGGAGAAGTTTAACAAGGCAGCCGCTAGCTAGGCTCTTCTTTTAGAAGGGGAGGGGGGAGGGGGGATAGGAGGAGAATCCCATTTGCTTTGCCTCCTGGGTCGGAATCGGGCGCTGGGATGTAAATTCTTGCGCCACCTACTGGTCAACGTCAGCGAAAAATATGCACCCGGCGAACGATTTTCCCGTACAATCGATTCGAAGGCGATTGACTCGCGGCGGTGCAAGCAAAGGGGCTTTCCTAGTAGCCAGAAAGCCCGAGGGGGGCGGGTTAGTAACAGAAATTGCACTGGTCGCGAGGGGAAATCGGTGGGTAGGAAGCCGGGGGGTGCGGGAGGTGCTTATGCAGAGCAGAAATGGGAATCGTGAGAGACAGTGTGTGTGTGTGTGAGAGAGAGAGAGAGAGAGAGAGAGTGT